ACATTTCTATATAAAATAAAGCTAATCACAATGTCTAAATATAAAACAGATCTGTTTTGGTTGACTTGGACCTAGATGAAACTATAGATCATTTTTTACCTTTTCTATGTTTTTGTCCATAATTCATACAGTAGTAGAATAGTAGCTGCACCTCAGTCTAGCACAGCTACAGCACCTCCCCTAAAGGGGAAAAAAAGAAAGGGAGGAAAACGTTTAAAGGAAGAACTCCTAGAACAGCTTACATAGAGTAACACYACCAGAGATTCTTCCAGGTCACTGTGTGCCAAAGACCTCAAGGGGGCACTCAGCCCAAAACATACTGCATTAGGGATGAAAGAGAGTGTCTGCAATTAGATCCGTTTTTACTGATCTAGATCAGTTTTTACTGACCAGTTATTACCCAGTGCTTCAGAGAGAAAACTCAGCTTTCATCTCTTCACTACAGATACAATTTAAAAGAAAAAGAAAAAAAAAAAAAAAGGAAAAGGGAAAAGTATACCATCACAGAGCCTGTGCTTCTCTTCTATATTGATGATCTCTTTTGCCCACTTTGTTAATGGAGGAAGATAACTTTCTAGAATCCAACTCTAAAACCTTCATTTTCAAAAGCTACCTGCTGATTTGAAAGAAATCCTTACCTGTATAAAGACTAGATTTTAAGACATGCCACCTGCAGAACTTTATTTCTTCCATCACTTTGCTGAGAGAATGCAGAACAGATATCACTTCTCYTTTAGACACTCTCTTCCCAGCCTGCTTACTAGAAACAGCAAAAAAACCCCACCACCAACAAAACCCACACACCAAACCAGCTCACAGTGGGTGCCAGTGGCAGGCCCACTTTTCCCTGCAGCAGCCAAGCATTAGTTGGAAATAAGCACTTCTCTGTGTGTATGTGCCCACACGCACATCCATACACACAGCAGCTGCTTCTGAGAGGAGGTATAGGTGCTGGTCCCGCTCCACCCTGAAGACCTGCCTTCCCCCAAGCCTTGCAGGCATCTCTGACTCCGTCGGCAGAGCTTTAACTCCATCTGCACCAGCTTTCTGAATGGGCTTCACTAATTGCGGTCAGGATTATAAAGAATGGCCTCGCTCCTACAGGAATGTCATCATTCCAATAAAACTGACACGCATTCTTCCACTACATCCTCTTTGCATGGTAGTTGCTCTGTTCATTTTACAGACAATGGACTTCCTGATGTACAAGTTCAAATTCCAGCTACCATCTATCATCTCAACTCTTTGGGGACAAATAAAGTATCATGCAACGTACCATATGTGGCTATTTCAGCAGAGCTCCTAAAAGTCATGTCCTGTCTACTTGGTGTGATCAATGGCTATTTTATTTTTGTATATTTAGAATAATATATGGTAAAGTTTCAGACTGGCAGCTTGTAACAAGGCACAATATCCTAGAACACAAACTAGCACTAAATACACACCTTGTCTACAAACACTACAAACTACCTGAATTGCCTTCCAAAGATGGAGGGCAAATCATATATATGACCTACCCATATTGCTGGTAGCACAGCCAGATGCCAAGTCATCCTTTACGCCCACAAGATTGCTTCCAGGAGTATTAGATGCAAGTCATCTSCCTTTTAAAAGTACTAAGCATCCATCCTCAAAAATCAGACCTCATTTCAGATTAGGCACACAAAGGAGACACCCATCAGTAAWCTCAAAAATGTTGATCCAAGATAGCCATTTTTAAAGTATTTAAATTTTTTTTATATATATATATAATATGCACATGTATATGCATATAATTTGATATAATGATATATGTATATTAAAATAAACTATTTGAAATTAATGGTACCTTTCAAAAATACACAACTAGAATAAATTAATGGGATGATTTGAACGATTAAAAAAAAAGGAAGAGTGCAATTACTATCCAAAAACAAAGCTATTTGAGTCATAAAGTTTAATTAGTTTGAGCCTTTTCTAGCTTCACTCTGCTCTGTGTTATAGCAACTTAGAAGTAGGTGCTGCTGTTGCAACAATAATTTTAAGTTTAGCTATTTTCTGGACAGGTTTTGTATGGAAAAACATGAAAAGGCCAGTAGACAGAAGTCTTATTTAGGAATTTAGGAACAAAAATATAGAGRAATTCTGAAAAGCTGTTTTTTTTTTCTCTCTGAAATTTACGGTGCTCACAAGGATAAGGTGACTATTTTATTTAAAAAAAAAAAAAAAAAGCTTGAAACTTATAATGCTTTTAGTATATTTGACATATTTTATATAAAGACTTTATTAGAAGTAATTGCTAAAATATTTAATGGGCTGCAATAAGAGCAGGTTATGGACAGATCACATAATGGGTGTGAGGTATGATCCAAATACGTAAAATCCCTAGCTTTTCTTTACAAGTGGATGCAAATGCTGGCCTATAAGTTCACAGTATTCCTCCAGAATTCATATTGTGACTTTGATTTCTTCAAATATTTTGCATTTCAGCATTTTGTAGGATGGGTAGAACGTGCGTCCTGACTGTGCACTGGAATCCATCAAGATTCACTTTACCAGGGAATGAAAAATTCTCATAGGGAATTTCCAGGATGACAAAAGCAGCATCTGCTCCTTCAAAAGCAGGGCAGCTTTTCAGAGTTGCATTCCTTAGTCTATACATCCCTAAGTTCATCACCAATTGATAGTTTTTTCTTAGTTAATCTTACACAGAGTGGCACAAGAGCTACGAACATTTCTGAAAACTCAAAGGCTGCCATTAACATTGAAGATTGTCCAAAGTTTCTAAACACAAACCATTGAGAACACCAAATGGTGATAGCACAGCCTCATTTTATTCGTGTTTCCACATTTATTGCTAAAATCTCATTTGTAAAATGAAGCTAGGTGAGTGTTTCAGCAACAGCAAAGCAACACCTCTTTTTGCTTAAGAGTGGTACCACTGCGAAGGCACTCCCTGGTAAGACAAATAAATTAGAATACCTTTCTTCAAATTGACGATTACGTTTTTAAACTCTAGAAGCATAAAACACTATCTCCAGTTACTTGGAACTCATGTATATGTATATATATATAATTTATATCTCAGTTATTTTATGTCAGGGACACAACTTTATAAAACACTGTAGCAGCAAGATGATTCACCCGTTCTAACGTAAGGAACACAAAACACAGCACTCTGGTTCCAACCTCAAAATTCTCATTAAAAGAGCAATCATCTCCGTTCCCTTTTCTTGGCATCCCAGAACTCTATTACTGCTTGCCAGATTATATTTCTCTAAAGAAATATTTATCTACTATTACTCAATGACTTCTGGAGTAATAAAAAGCTCGTTTATTACATCCTAGCCAGTACTGTTACATAGCAACAATAAGCCATCCACAGACCCTTCTTTCAGGGCATTCCAGATCTTATTAAACAAGTCTTTAGAAATATTTAATCCAATTAACTGTGGATTAAATGTTAGACACATGAATGTGTCTAGGTGTTTTCTAAGTGCCTATACCCAGGAATACTTACAAGCTATAGGGAAACAGAAGTTTGCTTCTTGTTTTAATGCTATTTTCTTTTTGACCTTTATTTTAACCGTTGAAGCATCAGGAAAGTGAACCTAAGTCCCTCTTTGTTCGACAGAGCAGCTGAATGGGGAATTTCTTGATTTCTAACTGAAAAAGCATGCTGCACCTTGGTAATAGCAAGTGATTATTTGTTATTTTCAATTGGAATACAAGCTAAGGTGACTTCAAGAACAAAAYTAAGCCACTGATTGGGAAATTCTTGTCCTTTCTCTTACTAGGCTTCACTCCCAATACACCTAAAGTCTTCTTATTTATATCCTAATACACGGACATGCACACAAAATAGTAAATAATCTTTCAGGCTTAAAGGAAAAAAGGAAAAAGGAAAAGAGGAAAAAGGGGAAAAGAGGAAAAAGGGGAAAAGAGGAAAAAGGGGAAAAGAGGAAAAAGGGGAAAAGAGGAAAAAGGGGAAAAGGGGAAAAGGGGAAAAGGGGAAAAGGGGAAAAGGGGAAAAGGGGAAAAGGGGAAAAGGGGAAAAGGGGAAAAGGGAAAAAGGGGAAAAGGGAAAAAGGGAAAAAGGGAAAAAGGGAAAAAGGGAAAAAGGGAAAAAGGGAAAAAGGGAAAAAGGGAAAAAGGGAAAAAGGGAAAAAGGG